GAAACACATTCTTAACTCACCTACCAAGAAACTAAGCCACAGCGACACCAACCAAGCTAATAGGGCTTGGATAACACCAATCTCAACCTCACCAAGTGAAAACCACATATTCAAGCCAAATTAAACGGAAATAACAATACAAAAAACCCTAATAAACCAAGATCTGATTCAACTAATAGAGCCACCAATTCAACGATTCATATACAAATAAACCAGACCCAGACATAATAGTTAACTAAGTAGAACAGTTTAGACACCAAAAAATGTGAAAGAAATAGGATTAAAGCATAACACTAGGCTTAACCCACTGCCACTCTATCACACCTCTAGCTCACGATGAGCTCAGTGGCACAATGGGGGTGGGCTGGAGCGAGGAGAGGCGGTGATCGCAGCCGGCGTCGAGGTGACTCGCATTCCAGGTTGCAGGGATGCTCGTGATTGGGCGCGACAAGGGGTGTGGTGGCGTGGTGACCTAGAGGTTGATTTGCGACTGGGTTCGCAGTGGCTGGCTATGGGCAATGGTGCGCAGTGGTTTGGGGCGAAGGGAGAGATTCAACACAGGGTGAGGGAAATGGAGCAGAGTTGAGACGTTAGTGGTGAGGAGTGGGGGTTGGGACACTCGAGTGGTTGTCGCGGCTGATGAGGGGCTTTGGTGGAGGTTGGATTAGGGTGAGGTCGCGACTGGACTTGGCCTCGCGGTGGCTCGTAGCAGATGCTGGGAGGTGCTACCAATGGCTCGACGAAGGGGACGACGACCTCACATTGGCGGTGCATTATGAAGATGGTGGTGGATGCCGCAAATATGGGGTTTCCGCGAAAGGGGAGTTCGCGGTCGTGAGACGTGGTGGTTCCGGTGAGGGTGATTGGGCGAGAATCTGGAGGCTGGAAGCTGAGATGGGGCGCGACTGCGGGGTGGTTCTGCATTGGTGAGAAGCTTTGGTGAGTGAAGGTGGAATTAGGGCACGAGTATGGCTGTGGTGGTGACGGGGAAGAATCCTAGTGGTGGAGGAGAATAGGGTTGGGTATATAGGTTCAAATGAGGGTACCATGTGGGGTGCTCGAGAGTGGGGAGGCTACAGCCAGGGTTCTGGTGAAGGAGGTGGGTGGCGGGTTATAGTGGAAGTTAGTGAAATTAAGGGAGAGGAACGAAGGAGTTAGGGAGCTTGGGTGAGGCGTGGAGGAAGTGTGAAAATGAGGGTCCGAGTGAGGGTTTTTTTTTTTTTAATTTAACATCTGTAGGTAAAGTAGTAAAAAAACATTACCTACCTCCTACATCCGTAGGTAATGCATAATCATCTCATTCGTTGGTAAATTTCGTAGGTAAATAGATAATTTACATACAGATAGAATTATGTAGGTAATATCCGTAGGTAATGTATATTTTACTTATGAATTTTTATCCGTAGGTAATATTTTGTAGATAATAGCCATTTTTTTGTAGTGTTATTATTATTACATTTATCCTTTCCTAGTGAATCTGTTTAATGACACACTACTTATTGAGATGATTGACTCTAAATTGTCATATTCTTGGATATTAGGAATATGAATCTTAACATCGTCATTTAACTTTGATTATATGATTTGAACAATATAATCATAAAATGACTTGATCCCTCTTAATCACAAGTAATTTTTTGAAGACAATATATTTATGTTCTCCTTTTAAAATTTGACTTTCTTATGAAATTTCCCCTTTTCAATCTAAAAAAACATTTTCTAGTGAGATTATAAAACATATACTTGTGAGTGTGTTTAATATATCCAATAAAAATAACAATAAATAGTTCTTGAATCGAGTTTTCTTTGATTTGGCCTTTAAGACCTTATCACTCATGAACACCCAAAATGTGCATATGCTAGGTTTTTCACTAGTCCATGACTCATTGGAATTTTGGTAATGTTGCAATTTTACATGAGGTAGTAGTGCATTGCTTAATTGTTACTATTAAGGAAATAAATTGCAATTTTTAATTCTTCTACTAAAAACAAATCAAGTAAAAAAGGTCATTAAGTATACTTCTCACTATATGTTCAAGAGTTTGATTTTAAAATTCTATAACCTTATTCATGTTGGGTTGCTCTAATAACAATTCCACTTATTATGGTGAAAAAGTGTGAAAGATCTTGAATGTTTCTCTCATATCTATCATATCTACAACAATATTTATTATGGTTTAAAATTTAACATCCTTAGTTTTCTTTCCAACATCAATTTAAGTTTGTCTTCAAAGACTTAAACACATCCAAAGCTAATCAAGAATTAAGTATAACCTATCATCCTCCAATAATTGTCTATGAACATATAGTATTTTTGTTGATTCCAAGGTGTCATGGATACAATCAATGTTCATATGTTTTTAGCTCTTTTATAGTAGTACCTAATTTGCTATGTTTATTTATTTTTCTTATTCATTCAATATTAGTTTTTGAATTTTTAACCTCAAATTATGATAAATTTAAAAGTTAAAATTTTTTCTCTTTGCTTAAAATTTTTAATTGGTTATACCATAAAGAGGTATAATAATCATTTAATAAAATATTTCACTAGTATAAAAATAAAATATTTTATGACGACTTAGTATGACGGTTCTAATTCATCCGTCATAATAAATTGAACAATAGTAGTTTTGTAATTAAATATTATTTTTTATGATTTTTTATGTTGGTTCAATATTGAACTGTCATAAATAGATTCTATGTTAGTTCAATTTTTAACCGTCATAGTAAGTGTTTTATAAATTATAATTTAAACACTTTTTACGTCGGTTCGATTTTAAATGGTCATAGTAAGTACTTTTTATGACGGTTTAACTTTGAACCGACACAAAAAGTAATTTTGTCAATTTTAAATACGAGACACTTTCTATGTCGGTTCAAAATTGAATCGACATGAAAAGTTTTTACTATGATGGTTTAATTTGAACCTTCATAAAAATACTCAGATTTAAATTATTCGGGTTACTTTATCCTCTTCATCTTTCTTATTTTCCATTTTCCATTTTTTTCTTGTAAGAAGAATTCTATTCAACTTTTTTTTTATTTCATTGTCTTCTTTTTACATTCATTTAGTTTTGTTTTTCTTATATTTGAACAACAACTTCCCACAATCTTACTTCTTCCTCGTTTACAACAAAAATAAAATATGGAAGCATTATCTCATTTTTCTTTATTAGTTTATGTTTCCTGATTTGGTTTAATGGAGTTATTTAATATATTATATTGTAATTATTATTATGAATTTTTTCTTTTATAAATAATTTTTCATCCAATTTAAGTGAATATATTTACATATTATGTTTAATTGTGTTTTTGTACGTGGATAATGCTTATGTTTAATTTTTGAAATTTGTTGTATTGAAACGGTTAGACAAAATGTTTGTGAGCAATATAATTATATAAAAAATATTTAGTATAAGACTTTTTATGACGATTATGTTAAGAACCTACATTTATTTACTACGTCGGCTATTTAATAACCGATATAAAAAATTATATCTTTTATGTCGCTGGATGTATATTAATTTTACAACCAAATATAAAAAATCTAAAATAACCATCAAATTTTTTTTTTACTAGTGTTTGTACCGTTAGTATTTGTTTTATATTAGTATTTGTTTTATTAATATAAAAAGTTTGTAAATTATTATTAATTAAAGAATCACTATCAACAACATTTAAATTAAAAAAAAAACTAACTTAATTATTTAAAAATAAACAAAAAAAACTAAAATTTTCCAAAAAAAAAAAAAAAGTAAAACAAATTTCTTTGCAAAACAGGCAACCAATTAGTTATAATTTACAAACCAGTCTTTAGTTACAATTTAAAAGTTCTTGGAATTTCTAGAAAGCTTTATTGTCATTGTCCACATAGGTAAATTTTGTGAATTATTAAAGATTAAATAAATATATAGACCATAATAGACAATCACAATTAAAATCAATAGTGCTATTATAACTTTTTCTCAATCAAATCTTCTTATATTCCTCCTTGATCTTTGTTCTAGATTAGGAGAAGAAAAAGAATTTGTGATTGATATATTAAAACCTTGAGACAAGGGATCTTCCAAGATGTCTCGTGAACTGAAAAAAAAAAAAAAGCAAGAGATGGACCCATGAGAGCTATAAGTCAACATTTTCCACTGGGGGTAAACATTTTCTTCCAACAATCTCAGTCCACTCACTGTTCATCCCAATTGAAGTCAAAAATATGAAGTAATTGCTGCCAAAAGAATAAAGAGAAGGTGTAGTGGAGGAAGAATTTACATACTTTCACGACCAGTTTTAGTTAATTTTAATTGATCAAAGTGAAGCATCCCCTGATGAGGCTTCCACTTTCAGTCTCATTAATGCTAGTTAATTCAATTAATCAAAGTGTCCATTTCTCATTAAGCAATTCCCGTGCTTGATTCATTTTCCTCAACGATCATGCCAGAATATTAACATGACAGAGAAAGAAAGGGATCTCAAGGGGACCCCCGCACGCTGTTGTACAATCAATGCTACCTTCATCTTAGTTAATAAGGTTGGTAAAACCTAATTAACTACCCTCTGAAAGCAGTTGCAGAATTATGTGAGTAACTTAATTATATATTAGTTTAATTTAATTTTCTTCTCTCAAGTGTACGTACGTGACCAAACATTATTTCACTCCTCCAATGAAATAAAGCAATAGGGTTCCTGTGTGTGCCCTTTTTCTTACTTCTTCTTCATCATCATCATCGTAATCTCTTTTCTCTAAGATTCTTTTTCTTTTGACTGTTTTAATCTTCCATGCACCATCATTTAGGCCTTGCTTAACGGCCAAAACTACCCAATAATCAGGATGCAATTGGGTCCCATATGTTTATTTTATTTTATTTTATTTTCTGACCAAATGTTTAGTTTGATCACACCAATTGGTCTGGTTTTTTCTCTCTTTATATACACTCCCTACATCGTACACCACTTCTCACTTCCCTCCTTTCTCTCTCTCACTTTGCAAAGAGGAGTTAGCCAACATGCCAAGCACTCTACCCTCTTTGCTTTTCTTGCTCGTCTCCCTCCTCACTCCTACCCTCATTTTCTCTTCACCATTTCAAAACCCTGAAGAGGTCGTTCAAGAGGTTAACAGGTAAACTTAATTACTCATCACTTTGCGCCTTAGATCCACGTTACCCACTTACGTTTACATGTGCTATTCTCTGTTACTCGGTATTTTTCTCGGATTAATTTCAAAATGTTATCACTTTTTTCACTTTGATCAAGTTCATGCCAGTACAGATTATAACCTGTTCCAAAAATATTGATCTACATTATTGGGTGCGTGGCGCATGTTTAAACAGATATTGTTCCTTAAAAATAACTCCTTTGCTTTTACAAAATGCACACCAGGAAAGATCATTATTTTTAAGTTTCATAGGAATACATTCTAAATTTACAACTTGTATCATTAGTCAATTAAGATTCATATATATGATCTAATTTTTAACATAATTTTTATATAAATTAATGAATTTTGCTTATGTTCTACTTTTATTCTACCTTTTCGTTATAAGACAAATAGTTTTATTAACTTTCCAGTCACATTCAATTGCAAATAGTTAATATATATGATAAATTTATTAACTTTTATTCTAGTTAAGCAATTAAAGATTTTTTTTTCTATTACAATGTTCTCCTAAATGCGTTCAAATGTAACTTTTAATTAAACAAATTTCTTTAAATTTCTTAATCAGTATCTAATGACAATGGTTAATAGGACCCTTTACAATAATTGGTTTAACCATAAAGTCTAGCTGGTTGGATTTTTATATGGATGGCCATCAACTCCATCATTATTCTGTTAAAATTAGTTGAATAAAAGGAAGAAATTATTATTATTAATTTATTTTTTGGGTGCAGGAAAATCAATGCCTCCATGGCTAGGCCTAGGAGGAGCTTGGGCTACCTGTCATGTGGCAGCGGCAACCCCATTGATGACTGTTGGCGGTGCGACCCGAATTGGGAGCAGAACCGGCAAAGCCTAGCCGACTGCGCAATCGGGTTCGGCAAGAACGCCATCGGCGGAAGGGACGGGAAGATCTATGTGGTGGACGACGCCGGCGACGACGACCCGGTAAACCCGAAGCCAGGCACGCTCCGGCACGCCGTGATCCAAGACGAGCCCCTCTGGATCATCTTCGCACGCGACATGGTGATCCAGCTGAAGGAGGAGCTAATCATGAACTCTTTCAAGACCATCGACGGCCGCGGCGCCAGTGTGCACATCGCCGGCGGCCCCTGCATCACCGTGCAGTACGTCACGAACATCATCATCCACGGCATCCACGTGCACGACTGCAAGCAGGGAGGGAACGCCATGGTGCGCGCCTCCCCACGGCACTACGGGTGGAGAACCGTGTCGGACGGCGACGGCGTGTCCATCTTCGGAGGAAGTCACGTGTGGGTCGACCATTGCTCGTTGTCGAACTGCAACGATGGGTTGATCGACGCCATCCATGGGTCCACTGCCATTACCATCTCCAACAATTACATGACGCATCATGATAAGGTCATGCTGTTGGGTCACAGCGACTCTTACACCCCGGACAAGGACATGCAGGTCACTATTGCTTTCAACCACTTTGGTGAAGGCCTTGTTCAAAGGATGCCAAGGTAACTCACACCACTTTATCTTATATCATATCTATTAAAAGAACATAGCTTTGATATCTAAAGTGTTAAGTCTTTAAGTTGAAGTATCAGTCGGAGTATGCAGAAATAGGTAAGTTGTGTTAACATGTGAGGTTAAGTTGAGACATTAGTTTAGTTTTGTTATATGAATATAATAAGATTAGATAATAATAATAAATTTAATGGGTGGACGTTACTTTGGAGGGCATGTTTATTTTGTAGGGCCAATAACGTTGGATAAGTTAAAAAACATTTGTTCAATTTGCAGGTGCAGGTTTGGGTATTTCCATGTGGTGAACAATGATTATACTCACTGGGAAATGTATGCCATTGGGGGGAGTGCTAATCCAACTATTAACAGCCAAGGCAACAGATTTGTTGCACCAGATGACAGATTCAGCAAAGAGGTGATTGATTATTCATAAATTCTATCATACTGTCCACATGAAATGATTAAATGTAGTCGAAGTAATATACATGTGTAATCATGCTAAACAAACTTGGTGCTTGTTTAGGTGACAAAGCATGAAGATGCAGCAGAGATTGAATGGCAGAGTTGGAATTGGAGATCAGAAGGGGACTTGTTCGTAAACGGTGCATTTTTCACTGCATCGGGTGCTGGAGCCTCCTCAAGCTATGCAAGGGCTTCTAGCCTAAATGCAAGACCATCTTCACTTGTTGGTTCCATTACAACAGCTGCTGGTGCACTCACCTGCAAAAAAGGTTCTCCTTGCTGATAATGACCCATCAAGCAATTTCAGCCTCATCCATTCATTCCAAAAAGGAAATTAAACAAAATATATATACTTTATATACCATAAAGAAAAGCAAAGAAAAAGAAGAGAAGGGCTAGTATATGGTGGTGGATCTCTAGCTTTTATTTACTTTTCCTTGGATTTCCATATATCTCCACTATTTTCGCCCTTTTTTGGGGGCTTCTTAGATTGTTTTTGTTTTTTTGTCTTTTCTTTACTTTTTTTAGTTTTGATGAGTTGCTCATGATTACAACCTCCACCTGTTACTCTTAGAACCTAGTCAGTTGAAGAATCTCGACGTTCCAAGAGAAAAACAAGTGAAGAAGAGTTGATATTATCACTATTCTATTATAATACAAAGATTTTCTATATAGATTTTATACCATGTGTTGAACTCTCTCTTCTATCTTGTCTTTCTGTTTTCGTTCCATGTGACCGACACATCGCAGACACACAAATGTATAGTGTGTTGTTGACAAAGACCATGAATGAAGTGAAAGCTTATATATTACAAATGTAATTCAATCCAAAAGAAAAGAAAATCATCGAATCCATGATTCGAAAAAGCTCAACTACCCTAATAACTGTTGACAAAGGACAAAAAGAAGGTGCTATAGTACAATCTGATTAGAGAGGCCAATTTGATAGCATACTAATATACTGTACTTCACTAAAGATTATAAGCAGAAGATGACCAAATAATCGAATTAGTTTCAGTCATTTAATATGAACACGATTTTTAACACATTTGAGAGAGATAAGCATTGATCTTTGTTTCAACTAAGTAAAGCTAATTTAGGAGAGACCAAAGTGAATACATTGGGGCAAAAAGAAAGAAAAGGACATGGAGTGGGAGAATGGTTGATTGCAACAAGGCATGCCCTTCCCTCGCATGAGTTTAATTCAATGTGGAGGCAAAGATAGGTGAGGATTGGCTAGGACAAAATTAGGCAAAAGGGTGGAAAAAAATGAGAAAAAGCACATGGGTGTGGCTCTTAAGTGGATCTTCTTTTGACGGTGGCATTTGATGTGATTGTGGCTTATGGGTAAAGATTTAAATTGGGTAACCACCACATTTTCTGACCAAGTTTCCATTCAATTCCCAACTTCAACGGTTTAACTTCTTGAATAATAACGAGAAGTGAGAACACAAAAAGGACTATGAAGTAGCAACCTTTGACCCCATGGATCATATGCATGTTCATTTTTATGATGTATCCAACTTACCCTTGCACATTGCTCCCTCTCCTCCTCTAATAAATCACCCACATGAATTTTTTGGATCACCATGGCTTTTATATATGTTCATTTATTTGTATATATTTTCTAGTTCTCTTTAATGTTCAAAAAACAAACTAGAGTAGAAGGAAGATGGTTATAGAAGCTGATGCATGCCTAGCATTGCCCATCCTACTCTCTAAGTAAAATCTAGTACTTTTAATTTTTATACTAACTGTTTTTTTTTTTTTTTGCGGTTAATATTCTAAATTTGTCAGTTTTTGTCTTGTTTTTGTCTAAAAATTTCAAAAAAGCACAATATAATTATCGAGGACAAAAGTTTTGTAATTGAGGAAATAACGATTTTTTTTTCTTCTTCTTTATATCTTATATATATATATCATATATATATATATATATATATATATATATTAAATTTCATTTCCATATAATGGATTTATAATGATTATGTACTTTTAACCAATTAAAAATTATATAAAAAAATATTAAAAAACCCTATAAAATTGAATTACAAGATAAATAGTAAATAATAATAATTTGATTATTACTATTGATTATTAAATCATAATAAAATAATCATCATATTTGTTCATTACACAATCTTTTTAATACACTTTAAAAAGCTAGCAGATTTGCAGAGAAGAACATCTTAATATCTTTCAAATTAAAAGTCTTTATCATACAGTAAATTCTGCTTCAAATATTGACATCTCAGTTGCTACAAAATTGATTTTTGGTTCATGTGCAATTTCATGCCGCAATCACATGGAACTCGTTTTTTATGTACAATACAAACAGCGCCACGCTGTTTTGTTTTTAAATTATTTAAAGTTCAAAGTTGAGGTGATAAAAGAAATTAGGTGGAAAAAAGAAAAAAACGAAAACAAAAATTTAATAAATAAATTTGTCATCATAAATAAATTCTATTTGTTCAACATAAATTATAATAAATAAATTTAATAAATAAATTTAATATATATATATATATATATATATATATATATATATAATTGTTCAACATAAATTATAATAAATTCTATTTGAATTCTTATTTATTTGTCATCCCACATATTATTAATATTATGATTAAACTTAATCTCAATATATAATTTAAAACACTATATACAAATTGAACTAAATATATTTTTTTCAGACCATTTATACCATCAACAAAAAACAAAATTAATTTTTATACTTAAATAAAAATGTAAAATAATCTTAGGATGATAAAACGGGTTAATTCATCCCATTTTTGTCTATTTTGTCTCTGACCTGCGAAAAATGGAACAGGATGGACTAATCCATCATAATCGGAATGAGTTATAGTAGTCAATCTTATCAAAGGACGAGTTGACGAGCCAACGGACCAATCTACCAATAATTTTTTTTATAATATATATATATATATATATATATATATATATATTTTATATATATATCTTTAATTATATGAATAATTTTAAAATGTTTATTTATTAATTAATATTTTTATTAGATAAATTGAAAAAATATTATATTTACATGTGAAAATAACTAATTATAATCAATAATTTAAATTTAATTTATTAATTTTTATAATTTAAATTATAATATCATAATAGATTTATATATTTTAATAATATAACACAAGAAAATATAATATTTTAAATTATAATTATTTTAATTTTAATATATACATATTTTTTAAAATGGGTCAACCAGACTCGACTTGTCTCACCCTTACTCCGGTCGAGTTGACAGACTAGACTGAACTACTCAAAATGGACTGATAGACTATAAATCACATATCTACCCCATCATTTTTCGAATCGGATCGATGGACGTAACCCATTTTATCATCCCTAATAATCTTTTAAGAGTTTTGATTGAGAATATATATATTTTTTAAGATTTTTAAATTTAATAAAACATATTTTATAACTAAAATTTAGATATAAATTAAAGATCATTCAATCTAGTTTTTAGAATGATATAATATATCTTAAAGAAAAATCTACCAAAAGTATTGGAAATTCGACTAGTATATTTTCTTAAACTTCTGAAATCTGTTTTGCATGAAACCTTTTTCAAAACTTAAATTTAACAAAATAAGTGTTCTAGAAAAATACATTTTAAATTTTAATTCCATATACAATAATCTAAATAATTTTTTTTTATTTTACCGTACTTTCAATTAAAAAAGTACACTCATCCAAACCCTAAGTCAAATTAAGTGTGTTACATTTTCTAAAACCTAGTTCTCTCTCATATTACAATATAGTTTTAAAATTTTGATATCATAACTATAAAAGTACAATTTTTAAAAAAAGTGAACATGAAAGTTGTCATCATGCATGTTTTTTTTTTTAAATTAATGTAAATCTATAAGTTAGATTTTGTAAAAAATGTAAAATAGTAAACATAGCTCAAGAAAAATAGACAAGCACATTGTTTGTCTTCATCACCTTGTTTTCATTATCAACATGGAGTGAACTTTCAAAAATTCTAAAATAAATTCAACATAATTCCCTTTGTTTTTAAACCAATTTTAACTCATAGAACAAACAAAAATAAGATAAACAAATTTCAACCATCATCCTCAAACAAAAGTTCAGACAAGATACTAGAAAATCAAACATGCAAATTAGGATAAACAATGTAATTAAAATTGAGAGAAAAATTGTGAAATCGCACGTCCCAATATGCACTTTGCTTCCATATCAAAGTTCATGCATGATCCGAATAATGTGACGAAATCAACGTTGAAGATCAGAAAATAAGCTGAATTATTGTTTCAGGTTGTGTTTCAGCTCTATGATTAGGCTAGGTAGGTTTTGGGTTAGTTTTTGTCTCTCAAAGACCAATAAGAGAAAAAAAGCTACGAAAAGCGTCTTGTATCCCCTCTCTTCATGTACATGTAACTAACGTTTCATTTCTTTCTCCTTATCAAAATTGTTTTTTCCTATAAAATAGTGACCATAGCTCAAGAAAAATAAACAAGCACATCGTTTGCCTTCATCACCTTGTTCTCCTTGTTCTCATTCTCAACATCTAACAGATTTTACAAAATTCTAAATTTTTTTTAACATAATTCCCTTTGCTGTTAAACCAAATTTAACTAAGAGAACAAAGAACAATAAGAAGATAACAAAACCAACCATAATTCTCAACCAAAAGCCCAAACAAGATACATTCATATACCAAAACAAACATGCAAAACATGCAAACTGGGAGAAGCAATGTAGTTAAAATTGAGAGAAAAATTATGGAATCCCACAATTCCACGATTATACACCTTGCCTCTGTCTTAGAGTCCATGAATGATCAATATAATGTGGCAAAATCAATGTCAAAGATCAGAAAACAAGTTGAATCATTGTCCCAGGTTATGTTTCGGCTCTATGATTTGGGTATGTGAGTTTTGGGCCAATTTTTGTTTCCTTCAAGCCTAATAAGAGAAAAAAAAGCTACGTTTGTATTCCTTCTTCTTCAGTGAGAATTACTTTCCTTTTATTTTCTCTTTATAAAATATCATTATATATATTATATATTATTTGATAAGTATAATTGTAAAAATATTTTAGTTTTTTAATAACTTGATTAGATACATATATATTGTATTTTATAAATACGATATGTGTATTTTTATTTCATATTAGAGAATGAATATATTTTAAATTATATTTTTCAAGTTGGTATTTGAGCGATAACGATCCTTTAGATCTTGAATCTTTTAAAACTTCCAAACGGAGAAAAGAAGATTTGATACATTTGGAATGAAATTAGTGTTGAAAAAGCTGACAGAAACACGAACAAACTTTATTCCTGAGGCATGTATAATCAATGTCCTTAAGGATTTATCCGCGGTGTATTGCACAAGTTCCTCAGGATACAACAGGAACTTCTCGGAATATCTGAAGATCTCAGAAACTAGCAAGAAACTCTCAAAAGAGTAAATTAATCTAGGATAACAGAAAGAAGATCAGAGAAGAGAAGATAAGAGAGGTGTGTTTCTGAAGAGTGTGAAGTGGTCTCTATTTATAGGAGAAAGTATGTAGCAGTTATGAGAAGACTTGGTAGTGGGTCTGTAACGTTCTCTGAAACAGTCTTCTAC